ACAGTAAAGATGTTTGCTTCAGTTTAATTATCAGCTTATAAAATTACAAGGGCAATGTTAAAATACAAACAGTTGTATGTTATTTATCGTGATATTTATCAAATATTGTTATATATTGAGAAAAATATATATTTAATTATAAAAGAGAATTAAAATAATAAACACTCAAAAGTATCGAAAATTGGTACCGTTAAGTACCGGTATCGATTCGTAGGTACCGGTAATTAGTACCGGATCGATTCAAATGTCAAAGGTACCCATCCCTAGCAGTACGTGCACGAATCGTACAAGTGCAGTACGTGGCTAGAGGCGCGCAGATTCACGCGCGCGAAATGAAAACGGCAGCTTCCTACAGGGCGAGGCCATGATGTAGGTGAAAGCCGGTGTGTAAATGACAAATAAGGCTTGGGCGCCACCCGGGTGGTGAGTCGCCAAGTATTTACCGCCCGACGAGAAAATTTAGCGCCATTGGCGCTCGGGCGCTTTAAAGGTCCACCCCTGATGGAATAAATAAAATGCCACAAACTGAGCACTTGAATTTTCTATTTGAGAGCAATTTGAGAATAAGATTTTATATTATTGCTCTCAAAACTTGTAATGCTTGCACTCAAAATGTCTGCTTTCTTTCAAATATACACTGTTCTCCTGCAAATCGTTTCTGCGCTCAGATTTTAACCTTCTTACACTGGTATTGTCTTCCCAAGTGAAAACTTTTTCACTGCACGGATCAAAACTGCTCCCACAAGTCTGTTCCCTACTCTCACGGATTATTTCTGCTCTCTCTCAAAACTTGGAAGTATAATCTCCAAGCAACCGCTCAGCCAATAGGAGAACTGTATGGAACGTCTTGGGGTTCGCTCGATTTTAAAGCGAGTTATCCCATAGATATGAAAACATAGACGCCCAATTGGGCACTGGAACAGTTTTTCATAATCTGACCCGCTGTGCCGCTAAAGATAGGGATCGGGTTCCATTTTTGCCACGAGCCACTTCTATGCCTTGTCAATTCCTGCTGTAAACATACCGTGTCCTGGGTCTACCTTTAGGTCTCCTCCCGGTTGGACGTGCCCAGAAAACCTCACCAGGGAGGCGTCCAGGAGGCATCCTGACCAGATGCCCGAGCCACCTCAACTGGCTCCTCTCGATGTGGAGGAGCAGCGGGTCTACTTCGAGCCCCTCCCGGATGACCGAGCTTCTCACCCCATCTCTAAGGGAGAGCCCAGCCACTCTTCGGAGAAAACTCATGTCGGCCGCTTGTATCCGCAATCTCGTTCTTTCGGTAACTACCCAAAGCTCATGACCATAGGTGAGGGTAGGAACGTAGATCGACCGGTAAATCGAGAGCTTCGCCTTCTAACTCAGCTCTCTCTTCACCACGACAGACCAGTACAACTCCCGCATCACTGCAGATGCAGCACCAATCCGCCTATCGATCTCACGCTCTAGTTTTCCCTCACTCGTGAACAAGACCCCAAGATACTTAAACTCCTCCACTTGGGGCAGGACCTCATCCCTGACCCGGAGAAGGCATTCTACCCTTTTCTGAATCAGGACCATGGTCTCAGATTTAGAGGAGCTGATTCTCATCCCAGCTGCTTCAAACTCGGCTGCGAACTGCTCCAGCGAAAACTGAAGATCACATTCTGATGAAGCCAACAGGACCACATCATCCGCAAAAAGCAGAGACCTGATCCTCAGGCCACCAAAACAGATGCCCTCCACACCTTGGCTGCGCCTTAATGGTTATGAACAGAATCAGTGACAAGGGGCAGCCATGGTGGAGTCCAACTCCCACAGGGAATGAGCCCGATTTACTGCTGGCAATGCGGACCAAGCTCTGACATCGGTCATACAGGGACCTAACAGCCCGTATCAGAGGGCCTGGTACCCCATACTCCCGGAGCCACAGGGTCCGCCCCAGGGACGCGGTCAAATGCCTTCTCCAAATCCACGAAACACATGTAGACTGGTTGGGCAAATAAAATCATGAGGTGCTTCACAAAAACAAAAAAAATGTAAAAATATAAAAACAAATTTAGAAAATGATTAAAAATATATTTGAAATGAGCAAAAAAATAAGACAATTGTGATTAAAAATGTAGAGAAAGAGAGAGAGTGAATAGGAAAGAGGGAAATCAGTGGATCCTGAGGAAGGTGGAATAGGTAGGGAGAGCAGAACAAGGAGAGGGTGATGAAGGTCACACAAAAGCCAGCCTGAACATGCAAGTCTTCAGCTGCTTTTTAAAGACCACTGAGTCCACTGATCTCAGGCTCAGGGGGAGAGAGTTCCAGAGTCTGGGGGCCACAGCAGCAAATGATCTGTCACCTTTGGTCTTTAGCCTGGTGCGCTGCACAACTAGTAGGCTTTGATCACTGGACCTCAGGGACCTGCTAGGGGTGTAGGGACTAAGAAGATCACCCATGTAAAATGGTGCTTGTCCATGTAAGGCCCTATAGACCAGAACCAGGATCTTGAAATGAACCCTGAAGTTGACGGCAGCCAATGAAGCTGGAGGAGATGCCGGGTGATGTGGGTGTGTTTGGAGGACTTGGTCAGAAGCCGAGCACAGGCATTCTGAACCACCTGTAGACGGTTCAGGGAGGTTCTGCTCAGACACGTGAAAAGAGAGTTACAGTAGTCTAAGCGTGAGGAGATGAAGGTGTGGATAACTGTCTCAAGTTCAGAGCGGGACAGAATGGGACTCAGCTTAGCAACGTTCCTGAGATGGAAGAAGGAAGAGCGAACAAGAGAACTGACATGAGAATCCAGGGTGAGAGCTGGGTCAAAGGTCATGCCAAGATTCCTGACGGAAGGTTTGGTGTGAGTAGCAAGCTGACCAAGAGAGTCTCTGACTTTGGGAACCAGCTTGTCTGGGGCACAGATGAGGATCTCAGTCTTATCTTCATTCAGCTGAAGAAAGCTCCCAGCCATCCAGGTTTTGATAGTCTAAGCAGGTGTGTAACAGCTGCAGCTTAGACATCTCATAGGGCTTAAAGGAGATGTACAGTTGGATGTCATCTGTGTAAAGATGGTAGGAGATTCCTTTGAAGGAGCTCAGGATGTGCTGAAGAGGAAGCAGATAGAGGAGGAAGAGCAGAGGCCCCAGCACAAAACCTTGTGGGACACCATGGGTAAGAGAGGTGGTGGAGGACCTAAACTTGGAGACGGCCACAGAAAAGGGGCTGCGCAGTGGCGCAGTGGTTAGAGCTGTTGCCTTGCAGCAAGAAGGTCCTGGGTTCGCTTCCCGTCCTGGGATCTTTCTGCATGGAGTTTGCATGTTCTCCCTGTGCATGCGTGGGTTCTCTCCGGGTACTCCGGCTTCCTCCCACAGTCAAAAAACATGACTGTTAGGTTGATCGGTTTGTCCAAATTATCCTTAGGTGTGAGTGTGTGTGTGCATGATGATTGTTTGTCCTGTGTGTCTCTGCTTGCCCTGTGATGGACTGGCACTTTGTCCAGGGTGTACCCCGCCTGATTGCCCATTGACCGCTGGAGATAGGCATCATCCTAGCGTGCAACGTTCTGTGACTCTTAAAAAGGATTTATGGGTTGATAAAATGTCTCAAGAAAATAACATATGCAACATACAACATGTGCAACATAACATGGGTTATATTGTAATCATTAATGGGCCTATCTTGCTGTAAAAGGTTTAAAACAGAATGATGCATCCATCCATCCATTTTCTATACCCACTTGTCCATGCAGGGCCACAGGGTGCTGGTGCCTATCTCCTGCGATTGGCAATGCATTTCGTCATTGACTTGTTGTGTTGTGCAACTTTTTTTCGTGTCGTGCAACCTTTATTTAACAGTCAATGTGCGCAGCTTATGTGTAGGAGGCAACAGAGCAGACCAAGGCAGATCAGAACGAGAGAGAAAACCGATGTTTTGATGAGGAAAGACACACTTGGAACAGAATCTAGATGGTGTGGAGGAAAACAGAGAAACCAGCAAAGACACAAAGGCAGAAACGGTTTAGGCTCATAAGCGCAACTACAGGCAGATTAGCTAATGCTACCGGGTAGCACGCTCACGATAAAATGGGGTTCCGAAAAAACTTGATGGTCGTGAAACTAAGAACATCTAAACTTTACAAGCGGAAGAAAAGACCTCACCATCCTGTTTATTCTTAGCTGTCTGCAACGCTGGAGCAGAACCACTGTCAGGTTCAAGTCTGCTCGGCTAAACACCTCTTCAGGATGATGGCAAGCCACTGTAGCATATAATGCACAAACGCGTCTGTCTGTGAACATAATTTAAACTGGATTTTTGCCAAACTGTACATAATAATTAAGTCACCATTACAATTTTAGCAGTAGAAATTAAATGTTACTAGTATTTCCACTTTTGAGCACTTTGAGTTACACTTCTTGTATGAAAAGGGCTTTATAAATAGAGTTTAATTGGATTTGATTTGAATTTTCCCGTTCAATCTGATTAATCGAGTCGAGACCCCACCTGATTCATCGATGATCTAAATAATCATTTGTTGCAACCCTAGTTTGGACTGCTGCTGACAAATCGCAAATGGTTTTTGCGTGGGAGTTTCTAAAATGTCTCAAATTATTTATGAGGGTTCTCAGTTCCCTTTAAAGCCATGAGTTCTTGTTGTACTTTTTTGAATATGTTAAAAAAATGCAGAATAATGTTTTTCTTAAAGTGCAATCTCTGCAGCTAGGATCTCAATTTAGCTTCTGTGAATTAAAGAAATGAGACAACTTTGAGAAAGGTATGATTTATTTTGAAATAAAATGAGTCAGCTAACATCTTGGGACATAATTATGAAACTTTGAGAGTAAACTGTGACAAGAAAATGAGTCAGATGATTGTTAGCAGTTACCTCCCTCATCCATTAATGACATTTCTGTGTTAAATGACCGATTTAGTGTGATCCTAACTGAAAATTCAGTTCTAACAAGCATGTGTCTCCATCTAGTTGAGGCCAGTGAGACACTGACTCAAAGAAATCATCATAAATTTAGGAATGGAGCTCCAACCTTTCATTCCCTGGCTGGAATTCTGAGAGTAAGGAAGGTCGGCGTCGGTGGGGTTGGGCCAGGTGCGAGCTGTAGTCCCTGGCATGGTGAGTGTGGTAGTCGACCAGTCCCACGTCCTAAAACATAGAAACACAGCATGTTTGAGCTTATTAGAGACACAAAGGTCACAGTAATACCATCTCTTACTAAATTTTTATTTAAATATATAATTCTGGAACAACATTTTCATAGTTTCCTGCATGGTTTCTCTTGTAATATAAGATGCTACTGTAGCCCGCGTCCCTGCTTATGGAGGATTGACGCCCATCAAACCTCATTGTCTCCAGCAATTAATGACAAGTGGCGGTGGCAGGTGCAGCTGTGGGGATTCTGTGGGGGAAAGCCTTGAATTCTCCTGCCAGGCAACAACAAAGTAAGCTCAGCAAACACTGGAGGTCACTGAAGGCACCTTAAGTTCAGCTAGAGGTCTGCTCTTTGAAGCAGACAGCTTTGTCCCTGGTGTGTGGAAGAATGTAATCTTCATAATTGGGGAATGTTGGTTGAAATAATGAGGAAGGCCTTAATGCAACTCCACAACAACAGCATGAACTTTAAACTCAAACATCTAATGAGGAAACCGTTCCAGAGCACCACTTTGTAACCTGGGAATGCTTCTGCTGAATGAACATAGAAGAGAGCGAGCTGGTCTTGGTTTGAGGCTACAGCAGCCTGAGGTGCACCTTATCTACAAGATAATTCCCCAATACAGGTGGTTCCTCTAAATGCATCTAGTGCAAAGCCTCTTACCGGGTGTGCCCGTTGCAGCTGCAGCGGTAAGGTAACAGGGTTTGGCAGGTGCCGTGCATCCACAGCTCTCCGGCCATGAGGCACAGGCTGGGGATGGGAGGACATGCTGGCACAGCCGCTTCCTCTACAGGCAGGAAGAGGATGTGGCTGTGAAGCAGACGCCGTGCATTATCGGCCGCGTCTCTTAGCCTGCAACCTGTGAGTAGAGGAGGACAAAAAGGTAAAAATTAGATTTTATTTAAGCAGCGTCAGTGAAAATATCGTAGCAGGGAAATAATCAATGTAATTGCTTAGAAGTAGAGGAACAATTGAGTGTTTTCTGGCTAGCACCTCCAGAGTACCTAGAGGCTAGAGTGTGTGTGGCTGTCTACTCCGGAAATCAGAAAATCCTCAGCTCCTTGCCACAGCTGCTCCCCCCTCCATTGCTTCGACTATAAGAGTAAGCCGCTGCACCTGCTAGACTCAACCCCCACTCTGCCGCTTGCTGAATAGCCCACTGTCCTCAAACTGAGAACTCACACACAGATATCAGCCAAGGAAGCCCGCAACTGGGTACAAATCTGTTAGAGGCAAGATATGTTTGCTCTAAATCATCTCATCTAAACCTAAGCACAGAGACTTATATGAAACAACCCTAGATATGACGAGACAAAGGTATGTGACGAGGAAAATGTTAAACAAATAAGTGGTCTAAAATTATACTGGACACGCAAATCAGGGCACAAAAGACACAGGAATCAGCTGTAGCCCAGCTCAAAGACTATGGTCTAAAGTTGGAAACGGTTAAGCGTCAAAGGTTTTCTTTGTTCATCTCCACTAAATGTACATTCTTATTTAATAGCTTTGCCTTCTGGACCAAATTTAATTTACACATTTGCCGACTCGTAAACACACACAGATCCTTAACCCTGTGTAGTAATCTCAAATCCATGTTGCTAAAATAAAATAATGATGTTAGCTTGGCTGAGCACCTACTGGTGGGGACATTTACATGGATTTCTTGGATTATTTGCGAGTGCAGCAGCTAGCTGTAGCACCGTAAACACAGCCCAGGGCGTTTCTGAGGGAACTGTCCAACATTTCTGCCAGAATAACCAAGTTGTTGTGCATAGGTTTATTTTTAACAGCATAAATATAACAACAATTGTTTGAGATAACAGTTATCATTTACTAACTGCAATCCACTTTGGACTTGACCACACTCGGACTAGCCTTTTGCTTGCCAACCTTGTTAGAACAAATGCATTTGTGCAAACTGAGGTCATTAAAATAACAGCAGGTAAGATTAACTATTCATAAACATTCCACAGATCCCCCACTTTAACATAACTATTTCTATAATTTAAACAAGTATCTTGTTACTTTTATTAGATTTCTTATCATCTAACTGACAATGCATCCTTAATGTCAACAGGAACTGAAATCAGCAACACCGTCTTAACCTGATTATCACAAGAACAGAAAACCAGAGGCTGGGTCTCAGTAATTCTGTCTCTTCAGAAGATTTTTGCTGATGGATCATTTTAAATCACCAAACATATTCACATTTTATTATTTAGCTGTATGTGGTTAAACTTTACTGAACACGTGAATAAGATAAAGAAAAAACTTATGTTAAAAGATAAGTTGAATTCCACAAGCTGTAAGAAGTTTATCGGTGTCTAGTATGACCAGGTGACATCAGGGCAGTTATTCTTCTGATTTAGTCAACAGAGAGATCAGAAACCTTGTTTCTCTGGATCTAGCAAGAGAAACTGGATTCTGACTGTTCAGATTTTAGCAACAAGTAAAGCACAAAACCAGAAACAGAGCAGCAGAAATGCAGATTAAAGATCGTTGTTTTCAGCTGAAATAGTTTTAATTTGAGAAGGAAATTTTAAAATCAGGTCAATCCTGATTACTGTGTCTGAGATCTCTTTGTGCCTAACCAAATGCCTCCTGGACCACAAGAAAAACTACTTTCAGATAGAAGTCAGTTAGGGCTTAAACGAATACTCGAATAATTTGATTAAATCAATTGAAACAAATAGTCAACTTTTATTTTGTAAATCGACACTTCATTTATGTTCACTTCCGGGTTATACATTCTCCTTCCAGTTATTTTACAACAAGCGTGCTTGTTCTGCTAATGCAGCTCTAACCGATCATACAGTTAGAAGACCAAGCAACAGAGTGAATGCAAAAGGCATGACGACACCCAGAGAAAACCCCAAAAAGTTTCCAAAGTGTGGGAATAATTCAAACTCAAGCTGATGGACAAGACCGCTAGCTTAGTGCTAAGATAGCATTGCACTAAGGTAATGAAAAAGAAAGAAAGAAAACAATCTTTTATATAGCGCCTCTTAACTCATTCACTGCCAATGAAGACTAAAGTCGTCATTTGCATGTTTTTACTGTGTGGGCATCGGAACGAGCCCCCGCACTGTGAGAAAAAACATCTCAGCTCTAAAGCCAATCTTCATCCACATATGTCACACATCACGTGATCAAGAAGCAGAAAATCCATGTGTTAGGAGATCGTTTTGGGCTGCTGCTGTAAAACAAAAAGTGAGGCGCAAACCAGAAAAGCTTCTGCCGATCACATTTCAACAACGGATTACGAAGGAACGGATAATGCTCAAAACGTGCAGATTCTTCCTGATGTAAGAGGTGATTCTACGATTTGTTTTGGTTGTTTTGGCGTCGACATCATCCTAGCGTGCAACATTCTGTGACTCTTAAAAAAACAGTAAAAATGGTGAGAAACGCTGGCAGCGAAGGGCTTTACCGATCAGGAAGGAGCATAGGTAGGGATGGTAAAAGTTAGCTGATACCAGGAACCAATACCAATGCAGTTGCTTGAAAATGGCTTCACTGTAACTTGTCATTTAGATATATACACATCATCAGATACACATCATCACCACCTCACCCTCTAAAACAAACACACAGAGACAAGACTGAAAAAATATTGGTTGTTAATATCGGCACAGCTTTACTTATGGGAACGACACAGATTTGTTAAAAAATCGTTAACATCGGCCAATACCGATATTGATGCCAATTTATTGTTCATCCCTAATATTTAGTCAACAGTTTGATGGCAAAAACTGCTCATTTAAAACAAACATTAAATTTACAGAAACACTTCTGCCATGACAAAAAAACTACCTTTCACTCATATCAGTTAGTGGATATAATTTAGTATTTAGCATTTATGCCAGGTCAGCTACTTCTGTAGTTGGTTAATAAACTTTCATTGTTTCTAACTGCAACATGTTAATCTGTTTAAACCAGAATAAATGAACACTTGAAAACACTAAAAGGTACACCCCTTGTTGCGCCGGTATGTATAACGTAAGACAAAAGCTAATGTGCCGGTCTCTACTGGCTGACAGGTGTGGTTTATTTTTTTCCTATAACACAAAGAGAGGCACTTTCTACCCTTCTCCTTCCTGCTCAACTGTCACAAACACAAATTGTCACTTGACTGCAGTTACGCAAAAGGCTCTATTACGAAAGGCTGAACATGGCTCTGGCTTTAAGACACAGAGCAGCTCTGTAAACACAGAGGCCATGAGATGGGAAAAACATTGCTGAAAGTCTCTGTAATTGTGATCTGTAGTCTGAAATATTTTCCCCAGACTAGTCAAAGCTGATGTTAGAGCAGTCAGAACTAAGATCGTAAGGGAATTAGAAATGATCCCTGATTAAATATTCAGTAAGAAGGAAAAAAAAGATATATTTAAAGAATATGCATAATTCTAAACAATGGGAAGAATAAGAGGAGTCAGATGTGTCATTCTTCTTAGCAGCTGCCCTCTGATGACTGTCCAGCCCAAAGAAGTTCCTCTAAGATGGATGAAAACAAGTCTGAACAGTCACAAGATCCATGGAGGGCCAACAATTCTAAATCAAGACGAAAGGACCGAATCAATGAAAAAGATCTGACATCAACTTTGAGGCGAATGGGGCCTTCCAGACAAGAGGCTAAACACATGCGCTGGCACTGCTACAGACACCCACAGGCAGGTCTGTGGCTCGCTGCCAACACTGCAAATGAACTCAGTCACCTCCCTCCCTTGCTCTACTCGCCTCTGTTCTATTTTGCTCTCGCCTTTTCCACAGAGTAGAGGGCCTCAGCCTTCGCTGGTGCAAGCCAATATTTCATCCGTTTACCCCCCACCCTCCCACTCCATTTTAGGAATGGCTGTGGAAATACTAGCACAAAGCACACAGACAGCTTCCAGCCTGCCAAGAGGAGCAGGAGGCACACTTCAAACAACAGCATAGTTCCACTGACATAAACAGTAAATCAAATCTCTGTCTAGTACGACTTGGTAGCTTCACAGTCGAGCTCTAAAAGAAATGGATTCAAAAGTAAGAAGGCCTCGTTGTTTACCATCCATGTTCAGAATAACTAAACAGAACTCCACATCAGGTGGTTCTATTTCTGAGCTGGTTTTTAACTAAATAAATCACTAAGAAAAGGTGATCTCTGTTAGGCATAAACAGGAACAACGAGTGCCAACGGTGCATCTAATCAGTTCCTATTCAACGCAGAAGAACTACTACAGGTTTAAAATCAGATGACCTCTTTCTAAAAAAAAAACTGAAAATGTGTTTAAAAGATTAAACACCAAACATTCACATCCACTCAAATATGCACATTATGTCTATTTTGTCAATTAAAACAGTCAATAAGACACTGAAACTATTCTAATTGTGCAAATACCTTGAATAACCTCCAAAAGTTTACATTTTGGTTCATAAAAAGTCTGTCTTGGTCTTTTTTCATAGGTATCATCAATTATGGGCGACGGTGGCACAGGAGTTAAGTGCTCGCCCCGTAATCGGAAGGTCGCAGGTTCGAGCCCCGCTCAGTCTGTCGCTGTCGTTGTGTCCTTGGGCAAGACACTTAACCCACGTTGCCTGCTGGTAGTGGTCGGAGGGACCGGTGGCGCCAGTGCTCGGCAGCCTCGCCTCTGTCAGTGCGCCCCAGGGCAGCTGTGGCTACATCGTAGCTCATCCCCACCAGGGTGTGAATGTGTGTGTGAATGGGTGAATGACTGATTTGTGTTGTAAAGCGCCTTGGGGGGTTCCAGGACTCTAGAAGGCGCTATATCAAATACAGGCCATTTACCATTTATTCTTCAGTACTTTTGCAGATGACGACTGCTTTTATCTCCATTCATTATCAGTCTTTCAACTGATAAT